AAGTACTATATATAAAATAAATTCTGAAAGTATTGAAAATGACACGCGAAATGTCGTAGGACAATCGAAAATTCTCTCATAAAGATTTTCTTAAAGCAGACTCCGACGCGCAATAAGAAGAGTTAAAAAAAATTAACTGTTAATATGAACAAACAAGGTTTCAATACGTTCAGAACTACACGAGAATTACCATAGAAATCATAGAACTGTTGAAAGTATGACAAAATCCAGTATTCGCCGAAAAGACGCCTTTCAGGATGATTAAAAATTGTTTAAAAAATTAACAAATGATGTATATCATCAGAATTCTTCGGAGAGCGTTAGGATACATTCAAAACTATACGGAAAGTATCATAAAATTAAAAGAACTCTTTAGAATCGAATAGCATCTCACACCTTTCCCCTTAGAAGTGCCTTTCGCGATAATTAAGCATTGTTTAAAATATTAATAAATAGTTAAAATAATCAGTATCGTAAATTTTCACGAAACTTTCATTTTTTCATTTTTCGTACGTATCAATCTCACGTGAAAAGTTTCACTTTCAAACGATATCAGACTTAGATTATGTAAGAAAATTATGAGAAAGTGAAATCAGATGTAAGGAAGTTACGAGAAAGTGAGATCATAAGGCGAATTTACATCGTTCCTTTTAAATTTACGAAAATTTAACAAGTGTAATTTAACGGGTGTATGTACATACAAATATGTATCCACATACATACGTATTTTGATAGGATATCACATGTACTCATTATTTGTTGTTCCTTATACATATAATCAAGAATAACAATGAACTCAAAAACAAAAGGAAATGCTATTAGACATAATGACAAAAAATTTGGATGTTGTGCGAGGAAGTGTCGCGAAATTCTTAGAGCCATATGGGACTAGTAAAAACATGTTATTTCATTACTCTTGTTCTTGATTATATAAATAAAAAATAAAAAAAACAATATGTATTTAAAACTCGTAGAAAAATGTATAGGAGAGCATAAATCCTAAATTGTTCCGGATGGGCCGGAGAAATCATCATCTAATGAGAAATTTTTTAACCTGTTCTTCATAAATTTCTATTTTTTATTAATTCTCACTTTTAAATTTTCATGTGATTTTATGCATTTCATATTTTTATCTTTTACTCATATATTTAATTTAACATCACGCAAACGTTTTCTTAATATGCGAAGTTTTCGTCTGTCAACTGCATGCTCTTCTTCTTCGTTCGCACCATTTATGGTGAGAAACCACGCAATATCCATTTCAAATATATACTTCAAATAGATATTCAAATATATTTGATATTTGAAAGCGAGAAAGTTCTAGTGCAGTCTAATACAGGAACAGAAAACAGACAGAAAGATCGAAAAACAAGTTAGTTTATATAAATTTACTAAAAAATAACTAGAATTTCACATTTTATGCATTTCATTACGTGCCGAAAAATTTTACGTGAACTAATTCACATTTTATAATAGCTAAAAGTTTCTTAATCGCTTATTCATTACATTCACGTGAATTTGTTCACTTTTTGTGTATTCATTCCTAGAGGAAACTTTATATAACCAAGACTCTTCGGAAAGCGATAGGATTCGTTCAGAACTATACGAAAAGTATCATAGAACTAGCAGAACTCTTTGAAATCCGACAGCGTCTCATGTTTGTTCCCGTAAAATTATTTTTTGGGAAATAATTGTTTAAAAATTAAAATAATGAGTTTTGCGTCAGAATTCTTTGTGAAACTATGTATTTTTTCAAATCCTATAAGAAACTGTGGCTGGAGTCTTCTTTAGGCATAGTTGGTCCTGTCTGATCCTGGCGTCTCATTTTGAATTTTTGGTTTCTAGGTCTTAATGGACGAAACTAATTATTTATTCTATATAGAACTGTAGAACTATTAAAAATAAACTCAGGATTCTCAATATTTAATGAGTTTCCAAGTGAGACGCTATCTCTACGCACACTCCCCCTTTAAAAAAAAATTAAATTTTTTATATTTCTGAATAGATTTTCGATAAATTGCAGAGTTCCTGGTAGTTTTAAGGAATAGTTCTGGCCATTAAAGGCATAAAAATGCGATTTAGAGATACGGAGGGCTAACTTCACGCATCCCCCATTTTTGAAAAAAATCATTTTTCATTAGAGTTCTGGATAGATTTCGAATAGTTCCAGAATTCTTGACCTTTCAGAAATAGTTCTGTTTGAGAAAGTAAAAAATGTGATTGAATATCCAAAATAGGTACCCAATAAATAGGCATAACTTTAAAGATATTAGGTACAACTTTGCTTCCGCTGTTTTTTTTCCGAAATTCGAGGCTTTATTGTAAAAAACTGGTTATACATTTATGATTCAAAATATTGTCCATTGCTGGCCACTATTTTCTCCCATCTTTTGGGCAGCGTACGAATTCCGCGTCGAAAAAACTGGTCATCTTTTGAGGCGATCCACGAATCGATCCAATTTTTTACTTCTTCATAAGACCGGAAATGCTGGTCAGGCCGTGTGCTATTGATCGAAACAAGTGATAGTCAGAGGGAGCAACGTCTGGAGAATACGGCGAGTGGGGTAGGACTTCCCATTTCAATGTTTCTAAGTATGTCTTGATCATTTTCGCAACATGAGATCGAGCATTATCATGCTGCAAAATCACTTTATCGTGTCTCTCGTTGTATTGCGGCCGTTTGTCTTTCAATGCTCGGCTCAAACGCATCAATTGCGTTCGATACTGATCGCCTGTGATTGTTTCAGTCGGTTTTAACAGCTCATAATACACTACGCCGAGCTGGTCCCACCAAATACAGAGCATGACCTTGGAGCCGTGAATATTTGGTTTGGCCGTCGACATAGAAGCATGGCCGGGAACTCCCCATGATTTTCTGCGCTTGAGGTTATCGTAATGAACTCATTTCTCGTCCCTAGTCACAATGCGATGCAGAAATCCCTTCCGTCTTTGCCTTTCAAGCAGTTGTTCACAAGCAAACAAACGCCATTCAATATCTCTCGGCTTCAACTCATACGGCACCCAATTTCCTTGCTTCTGAATCATTCCCATGACTTTGAGGCGTTTTGAAATGGTTTGTTGAGTCACTCCCAATGATCGTGCCAATTCTTCTTGATTTTGACACGAGTCTTGATCAAGTAATGCCTTCTGCATCTTCGAAAACCTTCTCTCTTCCACTGCTATGCCGGTCTTCGACGTCAAAAATCACCGTTCTTGAAGCGTTGAAACCACTCACGACACGTTCTTTCACTAATAGCGGCCTCACCATAAGTATTATAAAAGCATTCGATGATGCCTCAGCCGCAGATTTCTTCATATTGAAGCAGAAAATTAAAACCTCCCGTAAATGACGAGAATTTGGCTCGTAAACTGACATTTTCAATCGAGAATGACTTTATGATGCAGACACAAATCGACTAATGTTTCTATGGGGTTATGTTGACAGATGCCTAAGTTTATTGTATGACGTCTATGATCTATTTATTTCGACCACTTACCACTAAAGCCATATATAGCCATAAAACGGCGGAAGCAAAGTTGTACACCTAATATTAATTTAATCCAATTTTCTCATTAAGATTTTTTATGAAACTTTAAATATTTTTTAACATGTTTTTAATCATGTTAAGAATTTTAAATATTAAATGTCACATATTGGTTGAACATTAATTAACTGTTGTGTTTAATATAAAATATAGTTTATGATAAGCACAAGATTAAAACGTATGGAATACATTTTAATCTTGTGCTTATCATAAACTATATTTTATATTAAACACAACAGTTAATTAATGTTCAACCAATGTGTAACCAAATTCTGCCTTTGAAACAGATTTTCCATTTCGTTCCCCCCTTTTTTTAGTAAATTGTGTAAGTAAATTGTGTAAGTAAATTGAACTTACTATCTCTGTCTGATTAAATTTTGTTATCAAAGACAAAATGTCTGGTAATTTTGTAACACTTTTGGATCTGACAATCCTAGATAGCACGGGGCCGCGTAGTTAGACTTTCTTGCCCTACCTATCGGCTGCGTATACGATTCTCGGAATTAAAAAGGGTAATCACGGAGGAAATATCTATCGCTTTGGCAAAAGTGAGGGGATGCTGCCCGGACGAGATTCGTACAAGACCCGATCAGATGCCACGGATAAGGACGGTATGGGCAAAATGTTCAACCCGCACAGTGATTAAGACAGCGGAGTCATTTGGGGTCCAGATGAACTGGTGGCTCTGATGGAAGTGACTCTATTCGGAGCTCCTCCAGTGTTTCCGCTGCCTGGCGAGAGGACATACTCAGGAGTGGAGCCTTGACCACGGTCAAGAAATTGCTGCGGAGAGGGAGTGACATTTAGCCAGGGAGTGTGCACCCCCACACTGTCCCCTGTGCTAGAGGGAAGGAATAGAGCACAGGTGGATCATTGCCTGAGCTCGATAATCTGTCCCTTCCCCCATGCATCCGAGGAAGGATACCTTTACTGACCTCCCTCATGGAATGGGCCCTTAAGTATCTTTTCAGAGGGAAGGGGAGAAAAGGTCGGATCTACATTGCGCAGGTGGGAGCCTCTTCCTCGTTCTCTTGGGGTAAGAGTCTCCTGAGAAAAAATGTAGAAATCAAGATTTTGTACGCACAATCAAAATTTTGTTGATATGTGACTAATAAACATTTTTACTTTTTTATTTAGAAATTGTTCTAACTAAAATTTGATTATTCAATAATTTCTTTAGTTAATTTAAATTGCTTCGATGTAAATAGAGTTGTGACAACTCTATTATGCTCTAGTGTGCTTAAATTGAATCTACAAACCTGATTTATGAATAAAGAAACCGAGCGCAAAGTGCCGCGCGCAAAAGTGTCCCTCCCTCGTTTGAGGCACTTCTAACTTAGTATAAGCACAATTATCTCTTTTTTCTAATTATCGTAATTATGTTTTTAATGTATTACAAATAATTAAATTTATTTTATGTAGAAATGACGAGATGCATTCGGCCGATATACTTACTCGGTAGTTTCGAGGTATTGAAAGACGCGGTAGACAGGGCGTCGATACATGAAGAGGTGATCCTCGACACGCTCCACCATCATCCTAAAACCACTTCATTCGAAACGAGAACCACTTATCACCATCTACTACTTATTACTGTTTCCACGACGGTTTCCACGACGGAACACAGTACAGCGATGAAATACACGATATCACCAGAATGGGGAGACAATCCAGATAGACATATATCCCTGCTGATTTTAAGAAAAGTTTTCATCTGCTTCTGAATGATCAAAGTTCAGCTGCTCATGTTTTGTCGACGCGCACTCTTTCGTTCTTTGAGATGGAACGTCAATTAAATCAAAGAACTCGTCGTACAAACGTTTAGTAGTATGTAGTACAACAAGACGGAATCAAATGAATGTCCAAATCGATCTTCTATTTTCACAGACTGTTATTTCGCGCCCGTTCTCTCGTTTACCACATACTGCCGATGCCGCCGAATCGATACTCCAGCACAAACAGTCGGGCGACATTCAAATATACCAGAGAACCGTGTCTTCCAGTGTATTCTTCTTCGATCAATACTCTCAGCTACCTTCTCGATGTCTCGTTCTTCCGATTCTGCGATCGATTACATTGATCGTTAAACCTGATCGTAATAGAGGAAATATAATAATCACCAAATGTCTACGTTGTAGATACGATTAAGATATTATAAATTGGCAATGATAAGAATGTATACTGTATAACATCCGTTGTAAAAAAAAAACGTACTTTGGGGTACTATCACATTTCGTTTCCTCCATTATTCTTAATTTATATTTAAAAAATCGAATATTACATTATCTCATAAATTGATTCAAGGAAATGCGTATAATACACGCGAAGATATACTTACGAGCAATTTGAATAAACAACAACTAGATCGATAAATTTCTTGTTGTGTCATGCTAATTTGATGGCGTGCGATCATAGATGTTTTTTTGTTGCAATTTTACGAGCGATGCGATCTTTTCGGAGAGAAGACAGTAGTAAATTGTATTAAATATCTTTTGAAACGAACGCGTATAATTGTGAGATAAGATAAGATCATCGTTAGCTATGTTCGACAATTGAAAAACAATTTGCTGTCTTCTTAAAAAGTCTGATATCGATGAGAGAATCGCGTGCGGACAAGTATACATACGAATTTACTTAACCTACCCCAAACTATGGGATACCGCCTAAGTTCATCCGCAGTCATTGCAGCCAACAACCACCGCAGTGCAACTCACCCCTGCTATCGAGCCAGACTAGTATGTGAATGCCGATATTTTGACCCCAAGTCAAAGTCATATCCAATTGCATATAATAATAATTATTTTTCAAGATATAATTTCAATTAATTATTATATTCTTGCTTTAAATTAGATGTTATTATATTTATGCTTTTAATATTATGATACGACATTCGGATTCTTCTTGTGATAATTTTGATTCGCCTGTAAATTTATACAAATTCTTGTATGTATATGCCTCAAAAATCAATAACAAACCCGACGAAATCTGTCTATCTCTTTCTATCTCGTTTAGTCCTCATAAAATTTTACACCGAGTAGTTTGAAGTTATTTTGCAATGAGAATTCTAAGAGTACGTTCCATTTGAACGCTTAAAACGCGCACGAGCATTTGTTTTTGCTTAACAATGAGAATTTTAATGATAAGGCTTTTTGATAAATAATAAGGATAAAATAAGTATCCCATGTTATTATCAAGAAATATTTTCTCTTTTTCGAATTCCTTTCCATTATTAAATATCAAAAATTTATGATATAAAAAAAATTTGTGATATAAACTTTATGATATAAAAAACTTTAAGAAAAAAGAAAAACATTAACATACACAAAAATCTTCAGATTTTATTAACACGTTTATGCAAGATATTCATTTTGAATGATGCAAGCAAATATTTTGAAAAATATAGAAGATACGGAAAAACATTTTAAATAAAAGTATGGTTTGAATTGAATTTTAAAGGAGACAAATAATTAAAAAAGGTATGCAGTTGCATATTGTAAATTGCATAATTTTTTTGAAAACCGACTATTTTCTTTGATTCTCCCATCTCATTATTCTTACAAAACAGTATTAAAATAGTTATCAAACAATGAATGATTTATGTGATATTTTATATTTGATGTATAAATATATCAGAATAAATTTTAAATTATCGTAAACTATTGATTTTTTGATAAAATGCTTCTATATAAAGAATAATCAAAAGAATTATGTAAAAAAATCATACAATTCCATGTAAAAAAATATCTAGCGACCTTATGATCTTGAAAAGTTAATTTCTTCACAAATTGATTCTACTTTTGTCAGATCATACACTTCGGATCATACAACTTTTATCTAAAATGTTTTTCTGTATTTTCCATATTTTTCGAGGTATTTACCTGTGTTGTATTTAAAATGGAAAATTTCATGTCTTCAAAAGATTAAAAACTTAAAAAATTTAGAAAAATATATTTAGAAAATACGAAAAATATATGCTATCTTTAATGAAACAAAAAATGAGGAATATTATATGAAACCCTCGATTTTATAGAATTTTGCCGTTCGTGTCATCGACCGGACCAAGGTCGTACAACCTTGACATCGCGCTACGAAATTCTCATCGTCAGGTTATCCAAGCTTTAACCCCGAATACTTCCGCCTGTGCTAGACGCTAGAAGTGAAACGATCTCTCAGGATTTGACTTTCCCCACATTTACTCACACATTTAATATCGCCATAGTCGTAAAATTGAAATAAAAAAATTTAACTTTATCACTTTAGAAACTCCTTTTCTCTATAAAGTTTTTAATAGGAACAAAAAGAGATTTATTTAAAATGTTAAACAGTGATATTTTATCTGAATTCACTTAAATTGATAAGAAAATTTTCAATTAAAAAATTTGTTAAGCTTTCTCAACGTTAGAAAGTTTCGAGACATGTTACAAGATTTTTTTTATACAAATTTTTATCGAATCGTATCTCACCTTCCTTTTCAATGAAACAATCATTTCGTCAGAAGCATTCTACTCTAGGCGATTTAAAAGATCTCTTTTTCACTTCCATTTTCTTTCGAATATCTCTTCAATCTCTCGACTACCCTTCGCGCGTCCTCGGACACTACCCCATTAATTTTTATCCGTTCGCAAAGATCATCTCCCACTATCATATACCAATCGCTCTCGAAATCACTGTAAACATTTTAATGATCCTCTCTTGAAATCACAAATTTGGCTTCACGTCGCGATTTCCACATAATGGTACCGCGTGATATCCCTGCAAGTCGGGCGTTGCGACGCAAAGCGACCTTGACTTGCTCGAAGGTCCCCGGGTTCCGTGGACGCGCAACGTCGCGATGTTGCAAACGAATCGGTGAATATCGGATGGACGGACGAACGGACGGAGCGCCTAGCGTCGGTCGGTGGGCGTCGGTGCAACGATCGGACGAGGACGGAAAGAGCAGAGTAGCAACGCGCCTAGCAACAGCGTGGATGACGCGCGTCTACAGCATCGTCGGCGTCGTCGCCGTCGTCAGGTATACATTTTGCCGGTTCAAGGGGAGCAGGCGCTTTACTGGGTGCGGCAGGCTGCGCCGCGACGTCCAGCGTCCTTTCCTCCCCGCTGCGACTCCCTCCACTGTCTATTCTCTCTCTTTCTCTCTCTCTCTCTCTCTCTCTCCCCCCTCTCTCTCCCTTCCTCTTTCGCTTTCCCGTTCCTATGTTCACGTTTAACCGACATCGACATGCTGCAACCCTTGCGTGGCCCTGCGAGATCTCGTGGACATTGACGCACCGCGTCGCGACGCGCCACGCTGCACTGGGGCGAATGACTACGATGGAATTTGCTGCAATAACGCGCATGTTATGTTAAATTTCATAAGTGACATTGATACGTTCACTAAAACTTCATTTTCGTTTCTAAATAGATTCAAGTATTCGCAACATTTACAGAATGTGGATACATAAGATATAGTTTCAAATCGAACAATATATTTGTATGACTTTACATGTAAATTGATAGCTATGTGATACGCATGTATTCTGATTCAGCTCATACTTTGTATAAAGTATTTATCTTCATATTATAAAAGCAGAATATATGTAAGAAAAAATGTGATAAAATAGAAGGGGGAGAGAGAGAGAGAGAGAGAGAGAGAGAGAGAGAGAGAGACAGAGAGAGAAAAATGCATGAATGACTATTTAGTTTTCTTAAGAATACGTAATCTATTTTAAAAATATATATATATATCTTTTACAAATAATCTTTTGAGTAGCATTAAGTACATTCTGTTAAAAAAACGACTCAAGCCTTTTAAGTTTTATTTCTGCTTCAATTCATACGATAAGGCGTTATACATTTATGTCTTCATAAAATATACTGTTTTACGTACTTTTTGTTCTGTGAAATTTTACTGTACACTAACAATGAGAGAAAAAAATAGTTGCAAGTCCTATTACTTAACTATAATTTATCATTTAGTCATTTTTTAAAATTAATCAATTTTTTTTAATTAATCAATTATAAATTTATAATTGTTTTAATCACGCATATTATAGCTTCAACATTGAAATATGATCATTTTAACTATGATATGCATTTAGTTTTTTCTTACCATATCTCTTGATTATTATTATCATATAAACAGTTAGCGAATATTAAGAAAATAATTATATGATCATTATAATGTATTTATTATATAAAAATGATTATTTTTATTTACGATTCGTATCTTAACATTTTATTATGACTACGTTTACACGGTTTGATTTACGCCTAAGTTATAACATCGATGTTATAAAACTGGCCAATCACGGCTGGCCAGATAAAAATTCCATTTTTCAGAGGAATAGCTATGATTGGTCAGTTTTATAACATCGATGTTATAACTTCGGCGTAAATCGAATTGTGTAAACGTAATCTATATTAATAGTTTAGATTATCATAATTCATTGTACAATTTTCCCACATTTGAAAGAACTATACATATAAGGTTATTATTAGCAGTAATAATCATAAAAATAGATCTCTTAACCATAATTTTTTAACTATGCAATTATAGTCACTAA